CTGTAATTACTGCCTGATTTTATCAGATGTTGCTGTGGAATTCATTCATACATATCCTGGAAAGGAAAACAGATTGAGAACATTAACTTGCACTGCGAGAAGATCCCCTGCACTGTCTCATCTGGCACACTTTACTCCATTTACAACTTTTCTGTTAAAAAGAAAAGAAAAGAAAGAAAACTTTTTTAAAAGAAAAGGTTGCCAATCTGGAGATGGCCTTGTAGATTGCAGGAAACCATTTTGTTTGGGTTATCAGCTTATCAGTCTTGGATCAGAAAAAACTAATGGACATCCTTTCTACAACTTCATCTCCCCCCCCCATCCCCCCATTATCTTCTGCAAAACAAGCGTTAACATTTTGTCTCTTCTGAGCAGGTCTACTTTATGGGGCATTTTTACATTAGGAAGAGAAACAAAGGAAGCAAGGGCCACGGAGTTACCTGGGGCCCCATTTGCAGGCCTGTATTGAGCAGGAGGAGGGTGACACCTTTTGCTGGCCACTGGGGCTGTTTGGTGGCACGACTGAGGGGGAAATGGCCAGGGAAGTCTCTATGGCTTCTCTGGTTCCCTGGTGCACCCCTGGCCTGGCCAATCAGCCATGGCCTGATATAACTTGGGGGCAGGGGTCATTTCGTAGAAAAAGAGCTAGGGGGACTCATTAGCATAACTCATTAGCATATGCCACACCCCCTGACATCACCGGAAGTGTGTCCTCCCCACAGCCGGCGGCGACCTCCAGTGGGCACCAGCAGGGAGCTCCAGGCCCTGCCCTCCCGCACCTCACCCGGGGGGATGGCGTCCCCCGCGTCCCGCCCCAAATGACCCCTGCTTGGGGGGGAGCAGGATGCAGGCCAGGGGACCACAGTGAGGGAGTTCTCTCACAGGTCCACTGACCAAGGATAAAAAGGACAATTGGCTTCTGTGCTGCTGAGGACAATTGGCCTTGTGTCTTCGTCTGCCCATCCCACCCTTTGTCATGTTGTTATGGATTCATGCTCTGTCCTCTCCCTTTTTCTTGTCACAACTTGTTGGCAGTGTCAGCATGGGCCAGATCCATTGGGGGGGGGGAACTGGCCTGCACACCCCTTTTCCTCCACTTTTGGGGATCCCTTTAAGGGATTTTGGGCTGAGGACTTGCAGGGGACATGCCCAGCTTGGGGGCTGTCAAGGTGCACTCACCCCAAGTTGCAGGGGGAACCACGTAGTGGCCTATGCCCACATGGAGTCCAACAAGCTGCTGTCCTATGATAATCCCCCAGCAGGCAGGCTGGCAGGAGGTAGTCTGCACATCAGCCAGTAGGCAGGTTGGCTGATGCCCAGATCCATTGCTCCTATGCTGCACCAAGTCTCTCTCAGCTGTAATGAATAAATTTGTGGTCATTTCCTCCAGTAACATGTTGGTTGTCTTTCTAGCATGCCTGTTGTTGAGGAGTGCACCTTGCTGCCCTCCTGCTCACCTAGACGCTGGGTCCATAATACATAGATCCTGCTTAATCAGATACCTTCAAGTTAAACCCTAAAATCCTGACAAGAGAAATCTAGGCTTCTACCTCCTGTTACACACTGATGTTGAAGTCAGCCAGAGAAAGCACTTTTGGATCTACACTTTGGATTCATGAGTTCAGAGTACCATTTCTGACAGGCACTGAAGATCCTGTTTCTACAAAGGTTGCTATGTTCATAGAACTTATCTTTCAGTTATACCTAGGGATGGGCACTAACTGGCTGGCTGATGAACTAAAGTTCATCATTAATTTTGGCTGGTTTGTGGTTTGTGAAGTGATGTTCACAAACTGAAGAACCACTATGAACTTACATGAATTTTGGTGCAGTTTGTGGTTGTTTGTGAAGAGCAGAAAGCAGCTGTTTGGTTTAATGGCTCGGAGCCATTTAGACCTTGCTTTGTGCTCCCTGGAGCCATTTAAACCAAACAGCTGAGTGACAGTCCCTGCTTTCTGCTCTCTGCAGCTTTTAATGGGGAGCAGAAAGCAGAGATTTAAACTTTAAATGGGTCATGAACTGGGTCGCTTTGCAAACAAACCTCCTGATTTGTATGGGTTTATAGTTGTGGTTCAGCCAGAACCACAAACCAAACCACAGAAATGTGGTTTGTGCCCATCCCTACTTATACCAGTGATTATAAAGTTGTTATAGTCATAAAATTATGTTACCATGAAAATTTCAATCCTTAGAATATTAAAACAATGTTAAAGCAATTTCATCATTGGTTGACAAGGCACAAGAATGACGTCATTTATTGACCTGAAGCATCCCCAGCTCTGTAACGCAAAAAAAAAATTTAGGAGTAGGATTTATATAGCCAGGGTTCTGCTGAGTTATAACTGAATGGAACTGATGAATTTCCAATTAAAGATAACATTAATGGAATAAAATTAGCAGAAATTTAAAAATGCAGCTAACTATCCAGGAACCTTCATGGCAGTTCTACAAAAGGGATTTCTGGTGTTGGCACTGATATCTGTCTACCAGTCTGTCTATCTCTGACTGATTTCGAACTAGAGCTGCCTCGATGTTGCGCCACCGTTTGCCCCGATACTATTGGTCAATTTCACACCCGAAGCCGCGGGGCTGCATTTGACCCGTAGCTTCGCCCAATTTCCCCCGCTGTTTCGTGATCCTGTTTTTTTGAGGATCATGAGACTGCGGAGGAAATCAGGCGAAGCCACGGGTCAAATGCAGCCCCGCGGCTTCGGGTGTGAAATTGACCAATAGTATTGGGGCAAACGGTGGCGCAACATCGAGGTAGCTCTAGTGAGAAATCAGCCTCTGTCTCTAAGATTTGTTGGTCCTGCTGTTCAGCCTGATATGGGATTTTCTATCCACTATCCATTTTGGAAGAGGATTTTATGTATGCTTGCTCTAGGAACACTCTGGCATGGTAGAGGTGACTTGAGGTGGGGGGAGTCTATGCAAACATTTTAATGCTTGGTCACATTTTATATCTCAAAGCCAGAGAGGCATGTAGTAGGTCCACTCGGATAAAATCAAGGATAAAAATGCTTCTTAAAAGTTGGCATGTTTAGAAGAATGAATTATGCACCCAGGAGATTAGGGGAGAGTAGCATCTGAGAGGCAGATGTGATCAGTTAAAAAAGAAAATATATGAATGTACATCTCTGCAAGTGACCCACCAGCTAATAATGGAAAGAAAGGCATTTTTAAAAGGCAATGTGCCCTTTATTTGCACAGAAAAAATATTTAGGCAAAAAGAAGCTTCCATGTGGCGATGATATATAAAAGGCGGAGCGCTCTATATATTTTATATTATTTCAGCTGCTGTTTATTTTGGGATGATCAATACCCTTCATTATATTCTGCTCTGTGTGAGATTTTGCAGGGGGGAAAAGAGAGAATTGGCTAGAGCTCAAAGACAGCACTAAATTTAAAAGGACCACAACCATTTAATCCACTGACTTGTGCAATTAAAGCATTACCAATTAGTGGTACTTGAACAACTTTTAATTGTGGCAAATAAATAAGGAAGGGAGGAGGGATGCAGAGGAGCAATTTTCAAGGATAAAATGATAAGAAGACAATGTACTTCTCATGTGCTTAGTTTACCTCAGGACCAATTTCGTGGTGCATGAATTCAGAAACTGCAAAGAAAACGTACAGAAACATGGCTACTAGTTAATAGAAATATTGGGTGATTGTGCCATTTGCCATTTGTTTTTTTAAATATATTTGGAGTTTCCAAATGGTTCCTTAGAACTAACTAGGGTTATCACCTCTGAGTTGAAAAATACCTGGAGATTTTGTGGGTGTAGCCCGAGGAGGGTGGGTTTGGGGAGGGGAGGGGCTTCAATGGGGTATAATGTCATAAAATCCACCTCCAAAGCAGCCATTTTCTCCAGAAGAATTCTTCTCTGTTGCCTGGAGATCAGTTGTAATAGCAGATATCCAGCCACCACCTGGAGGCTGCCAACCCTAGAGCTAACCCATCCTCTTTGTGCCTTTTCCTTTCTGCCTTTCCATTTCATCTTCATCCTATCTGCTGTGCCAGGATTTCTGTATTGAGACTTTGGCTGGTATCATGAAAGCACTGAAATAAAAGCACAGTTAGATAGTAACATCTCTACATATATTGTCCCTCTGTGGTCTATGTTCCATAATTGACCTGTAGCCAGGGCTCTTTTTGTAGAAAAAGCCCAGCAGGAACTCATTAGCATAATAGGGCACACCCAACATCAGGAACTCATTAGCATATTGGGCCACACCCCTGACAGCACAGCTCATTAGCACATTAGGCCGCACCCACATGTTACCAGAAGTGTGGTCATCCAGCCACACTCACCTTTTGCTTGCTATTCTGTTTATCTTGTTTGTTGTCAAAACCCAGGGCCTTTTTTTGTAGCAGGAACTCCTTTGCATGTTAGGCCACACACCCCTAATGTAGCCAATCCGAATGAGTTTCTGCTGTTGGGTGTGGCCTATTATGCTAATGAGTTCCTGCTGGGCATGGCCAACATGGGAGCCAGCCGGAACTCCGTTCCTGTGCGTTCCTGCCCAAAAATAGCCCTGCTTGTAGCATTTGGACCAAAACTATAGAAGATGGGAATGTGAACAGGAGGTCTAGTTCCAAAGCCCATCTGATCTACATAGCTTATGATTTAGTTGTAATGACAGCAGGGATGCCGACAGGTAGGCCAAATGGCACCTTTGTCTCAGATTCTACTCTGGTTAAGGAGCCAAGCAGCCCTCTGCTGAGGAACCCCCTCATTGGTACTTCTATGTACACTTCAGCCGTGATCCGGGGGCCAAGCCCAAGAGAAAAGCAGACAGTTTTTTGTGTTAGGTAGACCAGGAAATAAAAAGTAAATTACAAGCATTCTGCTGACCTCGTTTGTCAGAGCCCATGATTCTTTTTTATTCCTTTTTAAAAAAACTGTAGTTTAATTATTTTTGTCTCTGCTCCACTGACCTTTACCCTTGCATGTAAATTGAATCTGAAATCTAAATATTTTTCTCTTTGACTGTAGGCTTGGCAGGGACATTGTGGAGCGCTGCAGCGGCAAGGTAACCTTTCATTAATTTAGAAAAAAATAAAAGTGTTCTGAAGAAGTTCTGACCTAGCTGAACAGTCATGGGGCAAATGTAGAAAAGAAAGTCACATTGTTCCACCAGACAAAGGCAGGCTATCGCTTTTCATAAATCTGCATTCCCAAGACAAGTTTTCAGCTTTGGTTAGAAAGGTCCATTTCTTTGAACCTTGCATACCAGAAAGAGTTCTACATTTTCAAGTTTCATTTCTCAATTCCTGAGTCTCGAGAAGACAGCAAAAATGCCAGCTTACAATATCTGACAGTGGAAAATCTGCATGATTGAGTTTAAAAAGGGCATGATTGAAACACACAAGGAGCAAATTGCTTGGAAGTTCTCTTGTACATGCCAACGAAATGAGCGGGGACTGTGCAGAAATTCTTGTGCTGCATGGCTCTCGTTCATTTCAGTGGGGCTTCCACTGGAGAACACTAGGGTTGATATTGCCTATGCAGCAGGCAAGGAGAAGGATGAAGAAGAAGACTTGGAGCCTGTTATGTATTGAAACGATTACATGAATCACCTCATAGGACTCCTATGTTAAGCTTCGAGCCAGACCAGGGCTCCTCTGAGCGAACTTCCTATTGGTCGCTTCGTAACAGCGACCAATCAGAACGATACCATTCCCTAGGAGGGAAAGACTCCCATTGGTCCTTAACTAAGCAATCTCATTGGTTGTGAATTGTAAATAGGCGTGGCTACATTAGCCCGGTTATGTTTAAAAGGAGCATAAGCTCCCACTGTTTTCTGTTCTGGTTTCTTACTGAGTTGAGTGCTTGTTCGTTACTTCCAATAAAGCTGAATCACTTGCTGAATCACTCTAAGAGTCCTTGTTAGTGCGATCTAACAATTGGCGACGAGGATGGGATGTTAGAGCAGGTAGGCAGCCCTGCGGACATCCACACTTCGGACTCGGAAGAAAGCGAGCAGAGCACAGCAGCCGATCCGGCGGAGGCGCCACCAGCTCCGGTGCCCAAGTCTCCCACGATGGCTGGAAGCCAGAAGTTCGAGTGCTTCGAACCTTCCTCAGAAGACTGGGACTCCTACCTATCCAGGTTCGAGTTCCATCTGGAGACACACGACATTACAGACGAGGCCAAGAAACGGGCGTGCCTCCTGAGTTCCTGCGGGAAGGGGACCTTCGACATAGCCAGGTCGTTGGTGGCCCCAACTAATATAAAGACTGTCACCTACGCTGACATCACTGAGAAGCTTAAGGCTCACTATTCTCCACAACCGTCGGAGATCGCCTGCCGGCACGCTTTTTACAAGCGGAACCAGGCCGGAGGCGAGACCATCGCAGATTTCGTGGCGGCCCTTCGCAAAGCCGCACGACCATGTAATTTCCACAACGTGGAGGAAGCCCTCAGAGACCGTCTCGTCTGCGGTCTCAAAGATGAAAGGCTGCAACAGAGGCTGTTCGCCCGCACCACCCTGACCTGGGCAGTGGCCTACGACGAGGCCGTGGCCGCAGAAGCAGCAGATAAGTCCACAAGGGAGGTCCGCCAGAGGATGGCAGAGCCCAGCGTCCACTCTCAGCGAGACAGCGAGGGCGAAGAAGCGGACGATGACGTCAACGCGGTCCGAGGCAAGCGGACCCCAGCGAAGACTACCAACGTCAAGCCTTGCTCCGGTTGTGGCGGGAAACACCAGCGCGACTCCTGTTGGGCTCGTGATGTCGACTGCAGAGCATGTGG